TCTTTTTTCTTAGCTGCTTCTTTCTTTGCCTTCTGCTCTCTTCCTCCTCTGAAGTTATAATGCAGAGATCTCCTAGAAATTGTGTGGCAGTCAGTGAGAGGAAAAATTGTCCTCTGAGGCCCAAGTACAAATGTCAAGTGCCAAGCCGGGTGGTGGTGGTGCACACCTTTAATCCCAGCATTCGGGAGACAGAGTCAGGTGGGTCTCTGTGAGTTCGAGGCCAGCCTGGATTACATAGTGAGTTCCAGGAAAGGTGCAAAGCTACACAGAGAAACCCTGTCTTGAAAATCCAAAAAAAAAAAAAATAAAAATAAAAACAAAAAAAACCAAAAAACAAAAAACCAATGTCAAGTGCCTTCCATGGCTCTGCATCCACCATAAGGACTCTAGCTTCCTGCATTAGCATGCTGCAGACTCGGGGTCTCTGTCTCTTTATCTATATTGACAAACCCTTTAATAGCCAAGTAGTCAACTTTTAGAAACACACAAAATACATTGTAAGGCATATGGGAATCTGTCAGGAAGAGGGTTACTGAGCCTTCCCCACTTTCGACGGTGGTTAACTCAGGCACCTATTATTTTTTCTGAAAAGGTGTCATATGCCTTTTTATGTGTCTACACCCACACACATGTACAAATACAAACAAGTGAACAATACACACACATAAAGAAAAAGAAAAATAAACCTTAAAAAATTTGAAATGTATGTTTAATCCTGACCCTCCCCAAACTTCCAAGAGCAGGGAAAACCCTAAGGTTTTTTTTTCTTTTTCTTTCTTTTCTTTTCTTTTCTTTTTCTTTTTTTTCTTTTCTTTTTCTTTTTTCTTTTCTTTTCTTTTTCTTTTTTTCTTTTCTTTTTTCCTTTACTTTTTTTCTTTTTCTGTTTCTTTTTCTTTTCTTTCTTTTTTCTTTTTCTTTTTTTTCTTTTTCTTTTTCTTTTCTTTTTCTGTGTCTGGAGAGAAGAGTAGAAACAAACATTTAGGAAGACATGAAATTTTATATGTGATAAAAACAATAGGGCAATTTACTCTTTTTCTTGAGACATTTTTTTTCTGGGTGATTTGTCCCTTTTCTTGAGATGTCTCATTTGTCCAGTATTCTTCAGATTCCTTAGCTGTCATTCTCTTGAAAGACAAAAACAATACCCCTTCTCCAAGCCTAACTTTGGGGAGGTCCCCTTTTGGCAAGTTACATCTGATTAAATGAAAAGCATTTGTTAGTGATATAAGTTAATTTTAATTGGATGATCATGCTGGTTGATGAACTATCACCTCTTCTAATTAAGAGGTCTCTCTTGTTTAAATCAAACCTTTATTAATTTTGATGGTACCCACAGCTTACCTTCTTCTGTAGAAACAAAAGCAAAATCTCGTCCCCAGTGTAACACATATCCTGGTTCCCATTCTGAGGCCAGCACACCTTTAAATTATATAGGCTGATTTAACTCAGTAGTTTTTTTCTATCTAATATCACTCCGCAGCTATTGCTCCTTTCTCATTAGCATTGAGAAAATTCAAAGTTAATAGAGCATTATGCACTCTATTTCTGGTTTTTCTTTTACCCCCTTCTGTTTATTTATCATATCCTTTAGAGTTCTGTTTGATCTTTCTATGACTGCTTGGCCTGTAGGATTATGTGGTATTCATGTAATATGTTTTATATTTTAATAAGCAAAAATCTATTTCATTGTACCAAAGACAGATGCTGGAGCATTGTTAATTTTAATTTGTGCAGGTATACCCATGATGACCACAACTTCCAGCAAATGCATGAATTACAGATTCAGCTTTTTCAGAACTCAGAGCAGTTGCCCATTGAAATCCTGAATAAGTGTCAATAGTGTGGTGTACATACTTTAATTTTCCAAAATCTACAAAGTGAAACACATCTATCTGCCAGATTTCATTCCTCTGAGTACTCTTTGAGTTACATCCTGCTGGTAGTGGAGTCTGATTGTAAAAAGAATAAGTAGGATATTTCCTTATAATTTCCTTGGCTTGTTGCCAGGTTATGGAAAAATCCTTTTTTTAAACCTTTACTATTAACATGATGTTTTTTTTTAAATGAAATTCTGAGACCTTAAGCACAATTCCTATCAAGTTTATCAAGCTCATCATTACCTTGTGTTAGAGGGCCTGGCAGACCCATATGGGAACAGATGTGAGTTATATGTAAGGGATGTTTCCTATTCCTGATTATATCATATAACTGAATAAATAACAAAATTTATTCTGACTCATAGGGGTAAATTCTGCAGTCTCAATATGTAATACCACTCTTTCAGCATACTGAAATCCATAACTATGTTGAGAGGTTCAGAAAAATCCATTAATACCATCAGAATAGCATACAATTCTGATTTTTGAACCGAATTATAAGGACTTTGAACCACTTTACTTAAATTTTTTGAATTGTTACCTGCCTTTCCTTGTTTGTTTGCATCTGTATAAAATGTACAGGCTCCAGATATGGGTATTTCCCATACAATGTGAGGCAGAATCCAATCAGTTCTCTTTATAAGTTGAATTCTATCAATTTTGGGATATTTAATGTTAATATCTCCCCAAAAATTACTGCAAGCTTTTTGCCAAGCTTCACTTTCTACCCATAATTTTTCAATGTCATTCTTAGTTAAAGGTACCATACTTTCTGCTGGGTCTATTCCTGCTAATTTACAAAGTCTCAATTTTCCTTTTAAAATCAAGTCAGAGATCTTTTCCACATAAGTTTTTAATTTTTTACTCTGTTTATTTGGTAGAAATAGCTATTCCAATATAATAGCTTCCCTCTGCATTAAAATTCCTGTAGGAGAATGCTTAGAGGGTAAAATAACCAAAATGCAATCAAGCTTTGGATCCACATGATCCACATGTCCTTCCTGTACTTTCTTTTCCACCAAGGCCAATTCTCTCTCAGCTTCAGCAGATAATTCTTTTGGACTATTTAAGTCTTTGTCACCTTCTAAGGTTTTGAACAAAACACTCAATTCATTATTTCTTACCCCAGCAACAATTCATAGATGGGAAATGTCCCAAATAATCTTTGAAAGTCATTAAGAGTCTGTAATTAATCTTTCTTAATTTGTACCTTTTGGGGTCTAATTTTTTGTAGACCTATTTTATATCCTAATATAAATTAATAGTATCTCCTCTTTGTATCTTTTCAGAAGCAATTTGTAATCCTGAACAAGGCAAAATTTTCTTTACTTCTGGGAGTCTGTCAGGAAGGGTGGTACTGACCCTCCCCACTTCCAACAGTGTCTAACTCAGGCACCTATTATTTTTCTGAGCGGTGTCATATGCCATACGTCACATGCCAAATATTGTTTTAAACACTGCCTGAATATTTATGTATTTACCTTCAATCCAACAGAAAGGACCGCATCAACATCCTCAGTGATAAGAACTGAGGCAAATATTACATGTACAATTTAACAGAGATTATAAAATTATTATAATTTGAGGTAATTATTTCTCAAGCAGATCATTTCTCTTTTGAGAGGAGGGGGTGTCTTTTGTTTGGTTTTCAACAGTGTCATTAACAAGATGTTGATGTTGAGCTCGAAGAACAATGGTTAGCCAGCATTCAATGTACTACCAGGGACTCTTGAACTAGCAGCCACTAAGCTGATCATGTCCACTTAGTTCTAAGCCCATTCTCTGAGCAGCAGTAGTAGGTGGAGGGTGAGGTCCACAGAAATTTTCTATATGTTCACGCAAGGGTCCTGTGGTTTTTGTGTGTTCCCCATACTTTCTCCCATACTCTATTCCTTAATTATTTTGCAATGCTACACAATTCACTTTCATTGTCATCTCTACAACCTAGAAGGAACAGGCAGCATGCACATACATGCAGATGCAGGCTAAAACTCATTCTACATGCATGCCCTGGAAGTAAGGTTTAATTTCACATTACCTTTCACAAGTCTGTTCACAGTGGCTCCCTCAGTTCCCCATCTTTTGGGCCAAATCCACCATTTGTGCACCAAAGCAAATACCACCTACCTCAGCAAGAGATCAAAAAGCCCAGAGCAGTCAGTCAGGGAGGGAAAAGCTTGTCGTTCCCATCTGGAGAGGAGCGTGTGGACGTCAAACTTGAGGAACATGGAGAAGTGTGGAGCATGCGCAGAAGTACATGCTGATGTCACCCTTTCCTCAGGCCCTCTCTTGACGCCACGTCAGTAGTAGAGACTGACCGAACAATAGGCCTTGAGGCCAGTCATTCCTGGGGCCCCACTTCTCTCTGTGGCTTCGGCCCACTACTAGTCATGGCCAGCAAGAATGATACTGGTGAGGAGATGGCTCAGGTCCCCACCTTAGAGGCTGCCTTGGCGATGGTGGGTGGCAACCCTAGTGGAGGTGACGCCTGCTGTGTGATTGACCTAAATAACGGGGGCAGCCAGTTCTGTGAGGGCCAGAACGACTCAGCTGAGGCTGTGATTAGGATTCCGAGGCGCCGTTCATCACGAAGGCAGCGGCGAACTACATTCCAGTTCACACTGGGGCAGGTGGAGGAAATGGAAAAAATGTTCAAAGAAACCCAGTATCCTGATGCGCTTGCCAGGTATGTGTCTGGAACCAGGAGCTATCCCCAACCTCCCTGTTGTCTCAGGTTGAGATGTCCGTTTGTTCTTTCAGGCCCTGGTTTCCTATCATCCCACCCTAAGCCACTGCTGTCTTCTCCCTCGGTAGTGGGTACAGGAGGATGCCTTGTGTAGGGGTAAAAGTCAGTATTAGTGTGTAGTGTTGACCTGAAACAAGTGTACATAGTCAACACCACACGTTTCGCATCATATTTTCATTTCTGTATAGAGACATGATTATAGTATGCCAAAATACTCACTTGTGTAAAATTCACCAGTGTTAAGGATTTACACTTTGTTGGGTGACCTCCTCACCAGTAACCTCGTCATCTTTTCAGGGACTGTGTCCCTATCCATCAATTCCTTTCGGTTTTCCTTTCCCTTCCCCTGGTGCTGTTTTTTAATTTAGTACAATTTGCTCAGCATACACTTTGACATTTAATTTTAATTTTTAATAATGTGTTAAAATTATTCATCTCTATTGTTTAGAAACTTTTTTAAGAGGTGAAACCATTTCAAAAGCAAGACTAGTTCTGAGAATGAAAGTTAAATGGGGGTCTGAGGGAGCACAGCAATATTAAAAAAGCATAGATATCATTTGTGACTTTGCAGTTCATGTGAAACACTGCCTGCTAAACATTTGTGGTTTTCTTTCCACAGAAAGGAACTTGCACAAGCTTTGAGTGTTACTGAAGTCAAAGTGCAGGTCAGTAAATCCAAGCAAAGACATTGAACAGTCAATCTACAGCCTTCTCAGGTCTTGGGAAGTCTTGTACCAGGCACTTTTTTTTTTATTCAAGATTTTTTTTCATTTTACATACCAACCACAGTTCTCCCTCCCTCCCCATCTCCTGCTCTCATCCCTACCCCACCCCACTCCCACATCTACTCTTCATAGATGGTAAGGCCTCCATTGTGAGTCAACAAAGCCTGGTACATTCAGTTGGGGCAGGACCAAGCCCCTCCCCCCTGCATCAAGGCTGACCAAGGCATCCCACCATAGGGAATTGGCTCTAAAAAGCCAGTTCATATAACCAGGATTAGTCCTGGTCCCACTGTCAGGGACCCCACAAACAGATCAAGCCACACAGCTGTCACCCACATTCAGAGGGCCTAGTTTCATCCCATGCAAGCTCCCCAGCTGTCAGTCCAGAGTCTGTGAGCTCCCACTAACTCAGGTCAGCTGTCTCTGTGGTTTTTTCCCATCATGGTCTTGATGCCCCTGGCTCATATAACCCCTCCTCCCTCTCTTCAACTGAACTTCAGGAGCTCGGTCAAGTACTTGGCTGTAGATCTCTGCATCTGCTTCCATCAGTCACTGGAAGTAGGTTCTATGACAATTAAAGTAGACCCCATCTGACTACAGAAAAAGACCAATTAAGGCACCCTCTCCACCATTGCTAGGAGTCTTAGCTGGGGTCATCTTTGTGGGTTCTTGGGGATTTCCCTAGCACCAGCTTTCTCCCTAACCCCATAATGGCTCTCTCTGTCAAGATATCTCTTTCATTGCTCTTCCTTTCCATCCCTCCTCCAACCTCACCATCCAGATCCCTCATGCTCCCATCCCCCATCCTCAACCTTCTAGCCCCTTCCCAGTTTACCCAGGAGCTCTTAACCATTTTCCCTTCCTGGGGTGATCCATGCATGTCTGCCTTAGAGTCCTGCTCTTTACCTAACTTCTCTTGAGTTGTGGATTGTAGCCTGGTTATCCTTTGCTAGAGAGGCTGATGCACTGCAGCTGTAGAGAGGTTGATGCATTGCAGCTCTAGAGAGGCTAGTGCACTGTAGCTCTAGAGAGGCTGGTGTACTGCAGCTCTAGAGGTTGGTACACTGCAGCTCTAGAGGCTGATACAATGTAGCTGTAGAGAGACTGATGCACTGCAGCTCTTGAAATGCTGATGAACTGCAGGTCTAGAGAGGTTGATGCACTGCATCTCTAGAGGCTGATGCACTATAGCTCTAGAGAGGCTGATGCACTACAGCTCTAGAGAGAATGATACACTGCAGCTCTAGAGACTGATGCACTGCAGCTCTAGAGAGGTTGATGCACTGTAGCTCTAGAGTGACTGGTGCACTGCAGGACTAGAGGTTGATGCACTGCAGCTCTAGAGAGACTGATGCACTGCAGCTCTATAGAATGATGTACTGCAGCTCTAGAGAGGATGATGCACTGCAGCTACAGAGAGAAGATGGACACAAGACACAAGAGAAAACACCCATGGTCTCCTGTTTGCACACTTTCCAAAACCCTCACTTCTGATTTCCCCTTTCCTCTTACAGACGTCATAGATAGGCTTTAGGAATCAAACAGGGGGAACTCTGACTTAATGTAAGCCCACATGAGTCAGCCACTGGGGCTTTATTTGAATTCATGGAGGCATCAGGATGGTACTAGGGCTTCTGGTCCTTTGGTTGATCTTCTTTAGATTATAAATCCATGTAATAAACAGGGAGAGTAAGTACATGGAGTCACAAATGTGCAGTTTGAGAACTTCCCAATAAAATAGACCCTTATTCACTAGGAGTCTGAGAGGATGGTGACATGTCACAGGTAACTGTGACTGTATTTCCATAGCTAGACCATATTTAGGAAGAACTGATTTATGACTACTTTCCCCTCACTGTTGTGGACCATCTTACTCCTTGCCTTTTGAAGAATAATGGGCTTTAGATGTCCTGGTGACACAGCAGGGCCTAGTGTGCCCTCTGTGCTGGACAGGATTCTAGAAATATACCTGAAGCAGAGATATTATTCTTCTTCCTCATCATGGAGAACTTTGTATAACATGAAAGAATATACTGTTCAGATTTACTATGAACATATACTGTTCATGAAAGAACATATTCTGTTCAGATTAACCATGGGTGGAAGTTAACCTTTCAGCTGAACTCCTGGAGATGGCAAAGGTTTCAGTGTCCTGTATGTCATTTAGGTTAAATTTGTCAACTTTCTCAAACACTGAAGGCTGTGATGTCAAACCATTGTCCATGACATCTCTGCCTACCACCTGTTCGCTCTCCTGAAATTTCAAGCACCACAATCCCGTTGGCACCCTTGAATGCTATTTTCTTTCTAAAAATCTCCCACTCTTGTTTCTGTTGATTACTTCATACTGAAGATTACTTTTACAAACAGAAAACTGTTCCCCTCCAGAGACCTTTAAAATGTGCTAACATTTTGTGATCTACAATCTCTGCCCAAACAAGAGGAACATATCACTAGTGAGGAGGGTATTCTACAGCTGATGGTCAAATATCAGAATGAAGACTTTCCTTTACCCAGTTACCATATATTGAATTAACATCAAGGACCTGGAACAAGTTGTAATCTAAGCTTTCCATCCAATAAAGAAGAAACCACTGAAGTGTCTATACTGCTGGAAAAAGACAAAATCATGGCCTAAGTTGACACACAGCTGGTATTTGCTTTTGTGAGCTGAATAGAAAGTCAGTGTTATGTGGCTTAAAGAGGTTTTTATCTCTTGGCTCTGGGATGGAAGCCAATGCTAAATCCAACCCTGTCTTCCTCTGATTTCAGACATGGTTCGTCCATCGGAGAGCAGAAGAGAGGAAGAGTGAGAGGTCTGTTGAATTACAGAACATACCTCCTCGTATTGAAAAGGTCCTTCTCCCTAGGGAAAGGGACGACAATCCCTAGAGTGCAATTTTTGTTCCAGAGCTAAAGGGAAATCTGCTGACACATATACTCAATATACAGCTTCACTAAAATTCAGCACTCATGTTAACAATAAAATCATGAATTTCCAAGTTATTTAATTTCAAATGCTTTCTGGGGTTTTGTAGTATATAGATGTATACTCTTCAGGAAATGCCATTTAAACAAAATGACAACTTCTGTTTTCTGGGGGTGACATTTCTAAGTCATGAGTATTGCTTGCATAGATGACTATTCCCTATACACGGTAATTGTGAAACAGTGGATCACTTAAGCCTTCTTGATTCAGGCTCATTTGATCCTTTGAACAAGGGATTCAGTAGTAACCCTGCAAATGGAGAATCTAAGGAGAATGTGGGCACAGAAAGTATTGATGGTGATTTATTTTTATTTGGGGGGGTCATACAAATTCTTTCTTTTTTCTTTTAATAAAAATAGATTTTTCTGTCACATAATATATCCTGATTATGGTTTCCCTTCCCCCTACTCCTCCCAGTTCCTCCCCACTTACCCTCCCATCTGAATATATCCCCTTTTCTGTCTCTCACTAGAAAACCGCTCAGGTGGGTGGAAGCCACCCATAGGCCAGCCTGGGTCCTCAAGGCCTGGGCTGACTAAAGACATTGAAGGGGGAGGGTGCCATTATGATGAGCAAATGTATGGTGGAGAAATGGGAGAAAATGAGAGGCAGAATGGTTCATGTGCTGTGGAAAGAGGTGGAACAGAAGAATCAAAGGTGGTGAGGAGCTGGCTGAGGTGGGTGGCCTGCTTGTCACCCAGGGAAGTGATGAAACCCGGCCTGGACTGCTGCAAAGGGCCATGTTTAGGTCCATGGTCCTACTGTAGCCAGGGTCTGAGTTGATGTCCATGGCATCTGTTGCCACCAAGGGCCATGAAGATGCCCAGGGTCTGGTTAGTCAATTCAGACAATTTTGTTGTCTGAGAGCTGTTCTGCTGCTGGTGCCAAACTGATCTCAGTGACCTGAGCTGCCACAGGGTTCATGGTAACATCTGGGCCCGAGATGTTCTGGAGGGCCACCTCTGGATCTGTGGTCCTGCTGTAACTGGAGTGTGTGTTGACATCTGTCGCCCATGTTACCATAGGGAGCCATGCATTATGAAATCCAAGGGCAGTGCTGAGCCAGCCCTGCCCTGTGTTGGCACTAGGAATGCTGGCTCTGCCCCTCATAGGAGAGCTGGCCCCAATGACTCGGGCATGGAGAGCTTGTCCCCTTGTACTCAGGAGAGATGGTCCCACCTCTCAACACAGGCATGAGAGAGCTGGCCCCGATGCCATGGGCATAGGAGAGCTGGTTCCACCCCTCACCTGAGTATCAGCTCAAGTATCCAGGACTGACCAGCTCACCTACCACTCAGGTCCATATCCAGGTCCTTGGATTGGCCCACTCTAACATCTACCCCATTTAGGACCTGCTGGAGCATGTGAAGGGACTGGTTCTGCAGATCTCCATGACTAGGGGTAGCCGTGGGGTATCAGAGAGGAGTTTCAGTGATCATCCAGTGATGATGGTGTACCAGAAACCAGAGGCCTTGAACCAGACCAATGACTCATTGCAATTTTCATTTTCGGGTGGGGCTGATTGAGCAAAAGTGTACACTGCCGGACACACCAAGGATCCCAGTGCCACTCAAATGAATGAAGAGATGTTGAGAGACAGAGGAGTGAAGTGGGTTTTTTTGTTTGTTTGTTTCTTTGGTTGGTTTAGTTGGTTTTTTTGTTTAATTTTCTTTTGGAGGAGGGACTCTGCAAGGGTGAAGGGCAGATATGGAGGGACTGGGAAATGAGCAGAATTAGGGTGCATGATGTGAAATTCCCAAAGAATCAATAAAGAAATTGTGTGTGTGTGAGTGTGTGTGTGTGTGTGTGTGTGTGTGTGTGTGTGTGTGTGTGTGTGTATGAAAACATACAGGCTTCTAAGGGGTAATAATAAAATAAACTACAGCCTATCTGTTGTGGCACACACCTTTAATCCCAGCACTCGGGAGGCAGAGGCAGGCAGATCTCTGTGAGTTCAAGGCTAGCCTGGTCTACGGAGTGAGTTCCAGGACAGGCTCCAAAGCTACAAAAAGAAACTCTGTCTTGAAACAAACAAATAAACAAAAGAGTGAAATGACTCCTTTGTATGGAAACATCTCTCATTTCTCCTGACTCACAATTCAGATAGTGGATCTCTTGTCTTTTGAGGCCGCATTGCTTCATATTGGGACAGAATACCAAAGGAAGCCCACATCCTCTCTTTGGTAAGTTGAATAATGATCTAGTAAAATGTTGATGTTCAAATCTAGAATCTGTGAATATGTTACTATATATGATAAATGAGAATTTGCTGGTGTGATGGAGGATTTGAAAATGATGGTAGTATCTTAGATTATGTGTGAATGGTTGATATAGTAACAGAGGCCAAGTTGGGTGGTAATGGCACATGCCTTCAATCCCAGCACTTGGGAGGTAGGGGCAGATGGATCTCTGTGAGTTCAAGTCCAGCCTGGTCTACAGAGTGAGTTCCAGGACAGCCTGAGCTATACAGAGAAAATCTTTTTCAAAAAACCAAAACCAACTGACCAACCAACCAACCACACACCCACCCACCCAACCAACCACCCACCTACCCAACCAACCACCCACCCACCCAACCAACCAACCAACCAACCAAGCAAACAACCAACCAAACAAACAAACAAAAAGCCAGGGCCCTTTTCAAGTAGAGGCAGAATGGCAGGCTATGCTATGTACTCTAGCACTTCAGATATGGGGGCCAGGAGATCTGGAGTTGAGCGGCAAACTCTCCACATTACATACCAAATTTGTGGACAGACTAGCTGTATGAGACCCAATTTACAAAACCAAAACTAGATGTGGAGAGCATTCCCGCTGGGTTATACCTGGCCTGGCTCTAGAAAGTTAGTACTTAGCCCTAACCTATCTTTTGTTTAGCAAACAACCTTTGTTTCTCTTGTTGTCCTATGTGAATCCTGTCTGAGAGTTTCCCAAGGATACAAAGCCTATACAAATCTTGATTTGGGAAACCCAGAAAACTGTGGTACCTGATAAATCAAGAAATTTGTACTTGGCATTGTATTTTTGGAAGCTTCTTTCAGGTTGTTTTGAGCATATGGAAATCAACTGGCTAAAGTATAAATGTGGAGAAAAATAAAAATGCCCTGGGTGAAGGCAAAGAACTTCAGTTCTTAGACACTAGATCCCCTGCAGCCACGAAAGGCTAGATTCATTCTTAAGGTGCCTCTGAGTCTTCATTCAAGGGACCCACGTGAACCCACACACCCACTCTGTGTGGCCACTAGGGTCCAAGATCACTGATAAAAGAAGGTAGTATAGATGGATGGTGGTGGCACACGCCTTTAATCCCAATACTCAAGAGACAGAGGCAGGCAGATCTCTGTGATTTCAAGGCTAGCCTGGTCTACAAAATGAGTTCCAGGAGAGCTATGACTGTTACACAGAGAAATCCTGTCTCAAAAAAATTTAAAAAAGACGGTAGCGTGAGAATGCAAGTATGGGAGTGATCTGGTGAAAAGACAATGGATTCCATCACTCTCTAGAAGTAAGACCATGTGAAGAACAGAACACCTCATGGAATTCTCATGAGGAAGCTTTCCTAACAAACCTTGACTGATACTCACACAATGAATTTCATTTTTCACTTCAAACTCCCAGAAATATAGGTAATATACTAGTGTTTGTGGCAACTAGTTATGAGACCCTAGATGCAACTAATACATGTTCCAAAGGGGATAGTAATGCCCCCAATTTTGTCTACATCAGTACACTATCTTCATTATCAGAACAGCTGGCCACTCCCAACTTTTGCTCTATTGAATTCCAAGTTAGACACTAGTTTTATGTGACTTCCAAATAGTAGTAGACAAATAAATAAGCTCCGTGTTCTCATCTTGAGGTGTCTTCCACATAGTTTAGGTTAGGGGGAAATATTCATTCCCTTCTTCTGTGGAGATAAGGAAGGGTAGTATTTCTGAAAGAGATTTTTTCCAATTTCTAACTCCTTTTCAAATTCAATTCATGTATGCCAGAGGTGAATATTATAGTAGAATTGCAAAATAGGCTTAAACCTTCTTTTAAAATTCTTGCATGGGTGGTTCCAGAGATTCATTTTAGAATTTAGGCATTCTGGACAACTTAAAAAAATCTTATTATTTCCTTCTATCTGATTAAGCAGATTGAAAGAACCATAACTTAATATTTTCTTACAGTCATGAAAATCTTTTTTAAAAGCCCAAGCGCTATATTGGGTGTGAGCAGGGGAATGAAGAGACCATTGTAAAGACTGTAAATTTATCTAAAGAGACAGAGTTACTTAAATAGTTTAAATTATTGGGTTGACCAAAAATGAATAATTTTAACCTGATAAAACTTCCCCCTTTCCTAGATAGGTGAAGGTATATGAGGAATATTGGATTTGTAATAGAATAAATGAATAAGCTACATATTTCATCATATTTCTGAGTACAGTGTGAAGTTTTTTTTTTGCTCATAACTATCTTTGGGTGATGATTGGCAACATTTCCTGTACTTCTTCCATGTAAACTACTTCAATGGTGCTGCAAAATCTGGTTATATATATTTATTTAAGGATTCACTGAGTCCGAAAACTAGAAAACGCTTGCTTATGTTTGTACCTGATTCCTGCTTGGGGAAAGAAAACCTATTCACATTCCTCTTGTAATCCTAATGTATACATGTCAGGTGTGGGGTGGGGGATCTCCAACAAATCGATGTATAATGTAGTACAAAGAAGCTGATACTGAGAGCCCCAGCTGTAGACCCCTAGGTTCTAATCCATTAGAATCTTCAATAAAGAGAGCAGTCCATGAAAGAGTACATTGCCTGTTTTCTTCATGTAATTTCTCAGATGAGAAACATATAAAAATAAACATCCAGAAACATCTGTTGGGTCTGAAAAAGCACAGTACTAATTTGCATCTAGAGCCATCAGCAGCTGAGAAATGATTTAACTAGATGATATGTTTAATGCATCTTATACTGCATCTTCTCTTCACACAAAATAGAAACATTATTAATACACCCATTGTTCGAG